ATTATTGACCTCTGTTTTGAGGTCGGGTTCTTTATGAAGAACTTCATGCTGGCTGATTCTTTTCATTATAGTAGAAAAATTATATTTATTTGGAGGTTTGATTAAAGCAACTGGTTTGGGTTTTTCTTTAGTTAAATTAATAAATTGTGTGATAACTTGCCCTTTATCATCAGGATCTGATATTTTTTCTATCAGATCGAGAATAAAATTATCTTCTTTTGTCAAGGTATGAAGACTATGAGTTGGAATTCTACTATAACAAGTTGGAGTTTTACTAGAGCATTGTTCGCATGGATCATTATCAGATTCATCTGATGTATCTGACCAAATAAGATTTTCATCTTGTATATTTCCTAGTAATGACATATTACTAATGGATTGAGAGTCTGTATCAGAATTAGTCGAAGAATTATATATTTGTACTAAGTCAAATAGCTTATTTCTTACGGATTCATCTAATATAAGAGTTTCAATTTTTTTCTTGACTTTACATTGGCTTTTATAATGGCCAACTTTGCCACACTTATAGCAGACAGGTAATTTTCTTTTGCCTTTTTTCTTAAAGGCAGAATATTTAGGAGCAAATCGTTTGATAAATTTATCTCTTTTTTCTCTATGTTTATATTTCTTAGAATGATATTTTTCTTTTTGTTTAGATCTATCTATTTTTTTATGAGATTTATGAATTTTATCTTTTTCTATATGGTAGCCAAATTGTTCACAAAAATCGCCTAATTCTTTTCTACCAGTCATTTTTTGTTTATCAAGTTGTTTCTTTAATTTCATATATGTGCATAATGCTAATCCTTCAGCACATATTTTAGCAGATAATTCTCCCAGCGTATATTTAGAATAATTTATTATACCACCATTTTTATTTTTAAGACGTTCTTTTACCTTTTCAGCAAATAAATATGGTAATCCAGCTATGAATTTTTCTTTCCAATGTTCAAGCTGACTATCTTCTCTAATTAATAAATGGGAAAAAAATACATCTTTATACCATTTATAATGGGATAGAGTTGGACATCGTAAATTTGATAAAAGATATTCGAATCTAGATGCTAAGACAGCTGTATTTCCTATAAAATGGAGAGTAATAGTATAAATTAGTGTATTAACAACATCACTTTCTGTATACAGGACATCTTGGTTTTGTTCATTTTTTACAGTCCATTGTCGTGTATTATTTAATATTTGTTTTTTAATGAATTCTGGGAGGTGAAAATCCCACCATCCACGTAACCATCCTGTAAAACCACAGGTTATAGTTTTTGCTATTTCTTGATTATGGGTTCCTGCCATTTTGCATGCAGATGCATACATTGTCATATGTCTCATAGTATCTAAGATTTGATGTTCAGAAATTCCATCTATATTCGAGTTTACTAAAGTTCTTCCTGAATAGGAAGAAGTATTAGATATGAAAGCTTCTTCAAATTGGATATCAACAGGTGTTGGTCTTCTATGATATGGTAAGGCTGTTACAGGTTTCCAATTTTTGGAATATGTAATTCTATGGATTTCATCTGTATGTGGACTAGATGTCATAGACTGATTAAATGCTTGTTCTCTATTTTCAATTGTATCATTTAGAGATTCATCAAATTCTTCCTGAAGCATTAAGGTTTCATGTTCAGGAACCCTTTCTTTAGTTTTATTTGTAATATCAAGTTTAGATAATTTTAATATTAATTGATCCATTAATGTTTTATTATCATCTCCAATAAGAAATTTTTCTTTATTTAGTTAGGGAGGAGGTTTGAATAGTAATTGTTTTGGTACAGGAATGGATGGAGCTGGAGATAAAAGATTTTCAATTCGTACAGTTTGTTTACCTAATGTTTGTAAGTAAAGATTTGTATTATTATTTTGTTCAATTATATGAGGAAGTAAGTCAAATCTTGTGACATCTGAAGTAGTTAATTTATATGGGGTTGCTGTAGTTTCGTATACAATGATTTGAGTAGAACTACTTGATTCCTCGACATCTTTTTCTGAAGGTTGTTTACTAACGCCTTTAATGGTGAGACTTTGTTCTGGAGGATGGATACAAGTAATTTCTTTGCCACTAGTAGTATTAAATTTAGTAAATTGGGATTCAAGAGTATTTACTTCAAAATCAGATATTTTAATATTTTTCTCAGTACATATTTTTTTGAACCAATCAAAGAAATATATTGTTGTTTTCTCTTTTTTAATGAATGTATTAAACTTTATATATATATATATATATTAATGATACTATGAGACCCTCCCACACCCAAGTGTGTAGGACCTCAAAGGATCACCATTAAATTTGGTACAAAGTCAAGTTCCACACCTATGTGATAATGTTTTTAGAGATTTTTGCCAAATTTAATGGTGATCATTTGGGTCTTACACACAT